ACCTCACTCATTCCTCCAGGCCTGTTCACATAACCAGATCTTAAGGGACCTTTGGAAGCTCAACAATGATGAGACCAACCTCACCTCAGGGGAGAGAAGATTCCACAGCACGGGTACCACAGCAGAAAAGGCCTACCACTAGGGCCTGCCAAATGTAGCTCTCTAGGCGACAGTACCCATAACATGCCTTCTCTGCTGGATCTGGTAGGATGGGCAGATGAAATCAGGAAGAGATGGTCCCTCAAATAGTCCAGCCCCATATATGTATAAATATATGGGGATTCCCATTTGAAATATTCAATTAATTATGCTCCTATATTAGCATTTCTTTAAAAATGTTTTTATTATTTAATATTCAGAGATTTTTTTTAAAAAAAAAGCAAATTGCAGAGAAGAGGAAAATAGAAACAAACTAAAGCAAGGCAAAAAGAAAAAGGTAGAAAAACGTATTATCATACTGTACTTACAACAAATAATTCAATTAAATTCAAGCCTCCATCCTACATTTTCTGATCACCAGCCAAATTTCAATTTATATTCAAACCAATTAAGGGATCATGTAGGCAGAGGAGATTAATCAAAGGCTAAAGGGGAAAAAAAAGTTTTGCCTTTTTAAAACAGGGACAGAACCTGGGAATTAAGGCTGAGGAGGGAAATCAAATGTTTCCATCTCACCTCCCACCTCAGAATTAACCAACCAGAACTCCAGGGATAATCGAGATAGAGAGGAACCTACTTAAGTTTGCCACCTTTGAAAAGATAGGATAAAAAACCCCAATGTACTTAGGAATATTGCATAAAATTAATTTTTATTTCAACTCTGTGTGCATTTAAGCCTAACCTTTTGTCTCTGATATTAATTTTCTCTGTACACGCTCATTAATGGCGTGCTTTGTGCAACTTGGAACACTGTAGAGCCAGGCTGCTCTAAATTAGGAGCAGATCAGCATCATCATGTTGCAGTCTGCCCAAAGCATTATATTTTCCTATGGGAAATTATTTTAGATTATGATGTGTGTTTTGAACAGATATGTATTTTTATCTCCATTTTCACTGAAAGTTTTTGCATGTGACTACTCTTTATATTCTCTCTCTCTCCCTCTCTCCCTCTCTCCCTCTCGTTTAGCTCTTCTGAGACTTTAGGGGAGGGGGAAGGCCTGAAAAAAATATTTCATTTATTCTCTTTTTGATTTCTTAATTTGCCAGAAAAGCAAAGCAGATATGGAAGCTTATCTCTCTCACATGCCAGGGTCAGGGGAGGTCACCAGGCAAGGTTCAATCTTGGAAGATCAGTAATGGCCGCAATAATACCAAGTTGCTCCACAAGGCAGGAGGGGAAGCTAAGTGGTGTAGATCCACTTAGAGCGATTCTGACTACCATTGAGTCCTCCAACCTTTCAGCTTACAAGCTCAGTCATGCCGCTACAGGAACATCAATCCTTGAGCAGATAGAATCATATGGATTTCATTTTGTTGATAGAAAATAAGCTCAAAAGTAGAGAGGCATCACATTGTAAATCCGGGGTGGTGCAGTATGTCCATCGTAACAGAATAATCTGTTTTGCTATATGCTCATTGAATCCAGAGTTCTTCATAGTTTTTTTGACATGTAGTTCAAAATCTCATTCATCCAATCCAGTAATTCCTATGTCTACTTACTGATATTATATTTCTGAATGAACTTTTTTCTCTTTTTTTCTTTTCTCCTTTTGCTTGTTCGTTCACTTTCTTCTTCTGCTGCTGCTGCTGCTGCTGCTGCTGCTTCTGCTTCTGCTTCTGCTTCTTCTTCTTCTTCTTCTTCTTCTTCTTCTTCTTCTTCTTCTTCTGAAAATGATTAATTAATAATTTTTTTTAAAGACATGCCACTGTTTCAGATATCAAGCTAAATAAAAGAGAAAATAAAGGGTATCCTTGACAAATTCCTTGAGATATCTTAATAGATGGACATGATTCCATTTGTAATAAGTGTAGCTGAAGGTTTAGAACACCACATTTCAGTCTAATTTATAAAGGAATATAAATTCATATTTAACCAAAACCTGCTCTACAAATTTCAGCTACAATATGTCAAAGTCTATTACTGCAACCAAAGAAATTACAAGTGCTGATTCCAATTCATCTGAAAGTATATCTAGATTGTCAATCACTAAACCAATATTGTTTGAAGCTTGCCACCCTTTTATAAAGCCAGATTGCCAGGATGAGCTATCAAAGGTGATATCATCTGTAATGTTATTGATTATATATTAATGTAATGCCA